ACAAAGGGTATATAACAAAGTATTGAGAAACTTTTGTTATTGACCAAATACTTATTTTCCACCATAATTTGCAAATAAATTCATTAAAAATCCTACAATGTGATTTTCTGGAATTTTTTTTCTCATTTTGTCTGTCATAGTTGACGTGTACCTATGATGAAAAATACAGGCCTCTCTCATATTTTTAAGTGGGAGAACTTGCACAATTGGTGGCTGACTAAATACTTTTTTTTCCCCACTGTAGCACAAACTGGACGGATCATGACGAAAGATAATGTTGTTAAAGACTGGGCAAAGGCTAGTGCAGGCAATTATTTTCTAATATTACTTTCTAGTGGAGGAGCTTCAGCATGGAGCATGTGTGTGTGTGTGTGTGTGTGTGTGTGTGTGTGTGTCTCTCTGTGTGTGTGTGTGTGTGTGTGTGTGTGTGTGTGTGTGTCTGTCTCTGTGTGTGTGTGTGTGTGTCTCTGTGTGTGTGTCTCTGTGTGTGTCTCTGTGTGTGTGTGTGTGTCTCTGTGTGTGTGTGTGTGTGTGTCTCTGTGTGTGTGTGTGTGTGTCTCTGTGTGTGTGTGTGTGTGTCTCTGTGTGTGTGTGTGTGTGTGTGTGTGTCTCTGTGTGTGTGTGTGTGTGTGTGTGTGTGTCTCTGTGTGTGTGTGTGTGTGTGTGTGTCTCTGTCTGTGTGTGTGTGTGTGTGTGTGTGTGTGTGTGTGTGTGTGTGTGTGTGTGTGTGTGTGTGTCTGTCTGTCTGTCTGTCTGTCTGTCGCTGTGATGGAGCAGTGACTGTCGGATGAGGAACGGGCTGTGTTACCGTAGTGACATCATGGTCTGGATAGAAGCAGTCTACCGTCTTCACAACCGGATACTAAGTTGCTTTATTTCATAACAGAAAATGTTATTATATTGTTTATTTTATCTACCATAAAGCTGTGATTGACAACAGCCCATGCCTTTCTTTCTTGTTATTTTTGAAAGCCACAACTCTAGGACAACACCTTCGTCGGCTAGAATATTTGGGAAATAAACTAGTGTTGATAACCGTAACTGGTGGTAAAGCTTTTAACATGACCAGTAGGAGGTTATTGGCCATTTGGTTTTTCAACCTCGTTCGGAGGGATCTTCCCGGCCGCATGGATCATATCTTTCTTAATAAGCTGTAACTTGATTAAACTGGTCATTAGATGTTTCTATAGGCTATTGATGTAGTTGGATTAGTCATCATTAGTCCCTACCGTATGTTTTTAGGCAATAACTTTACAATAACTTTGAGATTGAACTCGATGTTATTCATTGTTTGATCGGGAGAAATACATGCACAAAACGACCAAACGTAGCCTTCATATAGCCTATCGAATGGAGAGAGAAGGGGATACAGACTACGTTTTTTTCTAAAACAACTCGACACAAGATAGTTAAGGGAGTGTCCGTTATAAAGAAACATTGAATTGGTTTAGGCTTTAGCCTAATGCCCGAGCATCCGATGGAGAAACAAATATTTTCTGACTGGACATTTAGCGCTGCTTTGGTGGAATTCTCCACTCTGTCTGGCCTACATTTCTCTCTTGCGTTTTGTACACAATATAACATTTATTACATTTACATTTTACATTTTAGTCATTCAGCAGACGCTCTTATCCAGAGCGACTTACAGTTAAGTGAGTGCAATTCATGGGGCTCCCCTAGCATCCCGCGCCAAAGCCCCCCCAGACAGCCCCGCTCGGAGACCAGCCGCCCGCGCGGAGGACCAGCGCCCCGCGATGAACACTGCCCGCGCCGAAGACCAGGCCCCCGAGACCGCGTCCGCGCTCGAAACAAGCCCCGCGCGCGAGGACCAGCCGCGCGCGAGGACCAGCCCCGCGCGCGAGGACCACGCCCGCAGCGAAGGACCACCCCGCGCAACCAGCCCGCGCGCGAACGACCCGCCCCGCGAGGACCAGCGCCCGGCGCGAGGACCACCCCCCCGGCCCGGAGACCAGGCACGCGAACCACGCCCGCCGCGAGGACCAGCGCCCGCGCGGTTGAGGACCAGCGCCCCGCGCGCGAGAAGCGCCCGGCGGAGGACCAGCGCCAGGCGGCAGAACCAGCGCCCCTGCGGCGAGGAAAGCGCCCGCGCGCGAACCAGCGCCCGCGGCGAGACCACGCCGCCCGGCGACGGGCGAGCCCCGCGCGAGGACAGCGCCCGAGGCGCAGGACAGCACCCCGGATGGACCAGCGCCCGCGCGCGAGGACCAGCGCCCGCGCGAGGACCAGGCCCGCGATGACCAGCGCCCGCGCGCAGACCAGCGCCCGCGCGCGAGAAAAACAGCCCGCGCGCGAGGACCAGTCCCGCGCGCGAGGACCAGCGCCCGCGCGCAGGACCAGGCGCCCCGCGCGCGAGGACCAGGGCCCGCGCGCGGACCAGCCCCGCGCGCGAGACCAGCGCCCCCGCGCGAGGACCCAGCCCGCGCGCAGGACCACGCCCGCGCGCGAGGCACCCCGGCAGGCCAGCGCCCGCGCCAGGACCAGCGCCCGCGCGCGAACCAGCGCCGCGCGCGAGGACCAGCGCCCGCGGCGAGACCAGCCCCGCGCGCGAGACCAGCGCCCGCGCGCGAGGACCACGCCCGCGCAGGACCAGCGCCCGCCCAGAGGACAGCTCCCGGCGGAGACCAGCCCGCGCGCGAGGACCAGCGCCCGCGCCAGGACCACGCCGCGGCGAGGACCCGCGCCCGCGCGCGAGGACCGGAGCCGCCGCGGGACCAGCGCCCCGCAGGACCAGCGCCCCGGCGCGAGGACAGCGCCGGCGAGGGACCAGCGCCCCGCGCGAGGACAAACGCCCGCGCGCAGGACCAGCGCCCGCCGGAGACCAGCGCCCGCGCGCGACGTACCCGCCCGCGCGCAAGGACCAGCGCCCGCGCCGAGGACCAGCGCCCCCGCGCGAGGACCAGCGCCCGCGCGCGAGGACCAAGCCCGCGCGCGAGACCCGCCCCCCGCGCGAGGACCCGCGCCCCGCGGAGACCAGCGCCCCGCGCGCGAGGACCAGCGCCCGCGCGCGAGGACCAGCCCCGCGCCGAGGACCACGCCCGCGCGGAGGAAACCCGCGCCGCCGCGAGGACAGCGCCCGCGCGCGAGGACCAGCGCCCGCGCGAGGACCAGCGCCCCCGGGGCGAGGACCAGCGCCTCGCGGCGAGGACCACGCCCGCCGCGAGGACCAGCGCCGCGCGCGAGGACCAGGCCCCGCGCCCCCCGAGGACCAGCGCCCGCGCGCGGAGACCAGCGCCCGCGCGCGAGGACCAGCGCCCGCGCGGAGGACCAGCGCCCGCGCGCGAGGACCAGCGCCCCGCGCGAGACCAGGCCCGCGCGCGAGACCGCGCCCGCGCGCGAGACCAGCGCCCGCGCGCGAGGACCAGCGCCCGCGCGCGAGGACCAGCGCCCGCCGCGAGGACCACGCCCGCGCGGAGGACCAGCGCCCGCGCGGAGGACCAGCGCCCGCGCCGAGGAACCCGGCCCGCGCGCGAGGACCAGCGCCCGCGCGCGAGGACCAGCGCCGCCGCGAGACCACGCGGAGGACCAGCGCCCCGCGCGAGACCAGGCGCCCGCGCGCGAGACCAGCCCCGCGCGCGAGGACCAGCGCCCGAGCGCAGGACCAGCGCCCGCGCGCGAGGACCAGCGCCCGCGCGCGATACCAGCGCCCCGCGAGACCCGCGCCCGCGCGGAGGACCAGGCCCGCGCGCGAGACCAGCGCCCGCCAGGAAACCCGCGCCCGCGCTGCGAGCCAGCGCCCGCGCGCAGGACCAGCGCCCGCGCGCGAGGACCCGCGCCCGCGCGCAGACCACCCCGCCCCGCCGAGGACGCAGCGCCCGCGCGCGAGACCAGCGCCCGCGCGCAGGACCGAGCCCCCCGCGCGAGACCAGCGCCCGCGCGGAGGACCAGCGCCCCGCGCGCGGGACGGCCCGCGCAGGACCAGCGCCCGCCGCGAGGACCAGCGCCCCGCGCGAGGACCAGCCCGCGCGAGGACCAGCGCCCCGCGCGAAGCCAGCGCCCGGCGCGAGACCAGCGCCCCGCGCGAGGACCAGCGCCCGCGCGCGAGGACCAGCGCCCGCGCGCGAGGACCAGCGCCCAGCGCGGACCAGCGCCGCGCGCGAGGACCAGCGCCGCGGGGGTTCCAGCGCCCGCCGCGAGGACCCCCAACGCCCGCGCGCGAGACCAGCTCCCGCGCGAGAGGCCAGCGCCCCTGCGCGAGACCCAACCCGCCGCAGGACCACCCCAACCCCCCGAGGACAGCCCCGCGCGAGGACCAGCGCCCGCGCGCGAGACCAGCGCCGAGACCCGGCCCGCCGCGAGGACCACCCCGCGCCGAACCATCCCCCAACATCGCCCCGCGCTAACCAGCTCCCGCGCGCGAGGAAGAGCCCCCTTCCAACCAGGCCCCGCTACCAGCGCCCCCGAGACTACCCCCCGAGAGGGCAGACCCGCGCGCAACCCACCGCCCTAGAGACCACTTTCCAACCCCCCATGACACCCCCCGGAGTACCAACCCCCGCAGGACCCGGCCCCGCGCGCGAAACCACGCCGGGGGACCCCCCCCGCGAGACCAAGCCGCCACCACCCCCAGGAACAGCGCCCCCTAAAACCCCCGCTAGACCACCCCGCCGAGGGACACCCCCCTCGAGACAACTCCCTCCTTACAACTCCCGCTTACCAACCCTCTATTACCATCCCTCTCTCTATACACTCCCTCTCCTATTTCCATCTCCCTCTTATAATACCTCTCATCTATTACCAACTCCCTTCCTAGTACCCTCCCCTCTCTTTACCACTTCCTCTCTCTATTACCATCTCCCTCTCTCTATTACCATCTCCCTCTCTCTATTACTATCTCCCTCTGTTTTAATAGGCTTTATAGCCTGTGGTTATTAATTACTCATTCCTTGTGTCTTGTCCTGCTGCTCTTTCTTTCCTATGTCCTCTTCCTTTCTGTCCTACTGTCCCGCTGTCTACGTTTCCTGCTGCCTCTGCTACTGTCATTCCTCTGCGTATGTCCTCTGTCCCCACGTCCCGCTGGTGCTCCCTGCTGCTGCTTGTCCTATGTGTCTCGTCCTACTGTCCTGGCTGTCCTACTTGTCTCTGTCCTGCTGTACTGTCCTGCTTCCCAGTCCTGCTCTACTGTCCTGCTGTCCTACTGTCATGTGGTCGCCCTGCTGCCTGCTGTTTCGTCCAGGCGTTGTCCTTGTCCTACTGTCTGCTGCGTATGTCCTGCTGTCCTACTGTCCTGCTGCGTACTGTCTATCTGCGTGCTGTCCTACTGTCCTATGGGCCTGCTGCGTTACTGTCCTACTGTCCCTGTTTCTGTCTGCTGCGTACTGTCCTGCTGTCCTACTGTCCTGCTGCGTACTGTCCTGCTGCGTGCTGTCCTACTGTCCTACTGTCCTACTGTCCTGCTGTGTGCTGCCCTGCTGCGTACTGTCCTACTGTCCTGCTGTCCTACTGTCCTGCTGCGTACTGTCCTGCTGTCCTACTGTCCTGCTGGGTGCCTGCCTGCTCGTCCTACTGTCCGCGGTACTGCCTACTGTCCTGCTGTCCTGCTGCGTACTGTCCTGCTGTCCTACTGTCCTGCTGCGTACTGTCCTGCTTGCGTGTGTCCTACTGCCTAGTCGTTTGTCCCCGCTGCGTACTGTCCTACGTTGCTGTCCTACTGTCCATGCTGCGTACTGTCCTGCTGTCTACTGTCCTGCTGTGTGCTGCCTGTGCTGTCTGTCCTACTGTCCTACTGTCCTGTGTACTGCCGCTGCGTACTGTCCTACTGTCCCCTGTCACTGCCTGCGGTTTCGTCTGCTGTGTTGCCTGCTGCGTACCTGTCCTGTGTGTTACCAGTCCTGCTGCTAAAGTCCTTGCTCTGTCCTGTGGTACCGTCCTGCTCATACTGTCCTGGGGTAGCCCGCGAGGACTCCATTCTTTTCGTTGGGGTGCCAGTCAAATTCAAATGGCAAAACCACGTCTGTCACACACAATGTGTCACCTCGCTAGTTTGTTGCTTCGTAAAAATGGCCTACCCAACAAAAACACAAAGTGGCATCCAAGACCTACTGTTGGTACCAACCCAACACTGTCCTGCCCCCTGTGTATACACACACACATCATGTCTGGAGCAGGACCAAACAGAACGACCATTCATATTCATTAGTTTAAAAGATCAATTCAATGAGAGAAAAAAAAACATATGTTGAAAAACATGGGACAGAATATTTCTAAAACGTACCTTCTGCAGCCTTGTTTTTGGTCTGTCTCTTGGTGCAGGTGACACAGAGAAGAGAGTTATTCTGAGTGAGGTTCTCTACCTCTGTGAACTGGTACAGACAGGACTCCACAGAGCACTCCTGTTTCTCTGGCGCCGCCCTGGTGGCCAGCGTGTGAAAGGCCAGCTCAGGGTCCAGGTGAGAGACTGTGTACTCCTTCCCCTCCAGCTCAGTCTCCATTTCTATTTTTAGGAATTACATTTTTAAATAAACATTAACAAAATATAAATGTTTAGTAACTTTAAACAACACGATACAAACAGGACTATATGAAATTGACATTCATACTAGTGGTTCTATCCGCGGGGCGGGTTGGTTAAGGGTAATTAAATAGCGTGGCTGAAGGGCGGGTTGGTTAAGGGTAATTAAATAGCGTGGCTGAAGGGCGGGTTGCTGGCAGAATGAATAGAGAGAAAACGATACCTTAAAAAATCCATAAATGTATCATTTTTTTGCCATTTATATCTACAGTGCATTTGGAAAGTATTCAGACTCCTTCCCTTTTCCACATTTCGTTATGTTGCAGTCTTATTATAAAATGGATTAAATAAATAAAAATCCACATCAATCAACACACTATACCCCATAATGATGAAGTGAAAAACAGTTTTTTTTTGTGTGCAAATGTATTACAAATAAAAAGCATGGTGGCAAAATGGACTTTATGTACATAAGTATTCAGACCCTTTGCTATGAGACTCGAAATTGAGCTCAGGTGCATCCTGTTTCCATTGATCATCCTTGAGATGTTTCTACAACTTGATTGAAGTCCATCTGTGGTAAATTCAATTGATTGGACATGATTTGGAAAGGCACACACCTGTCTATATAAGGTTCCACAGTTGACAGTGCATGTCAGCGCAAAAACCAAGCCATGAGGTCGAAGGAATTGTCCGTAGAGCTCCGAGACAGGATTGTGTCGAGGCACACATCTGGGGAAGGGTACCAAAACATTTCTGCAGCATTGAAGGTCCCCCAAGAACACAGTGGCCTCCATCATTCTTAAATGGAAGAAGTTTGGAACCACCAAGACTCTTCCTAGAGCTGGCCGCCCAGCCAAACTGAGGAATCGGGGGACAAGGGCCTTGGTCAGGGAGGTGACCAAGAATCCAATGGTCACTCTGACAGAGCTCCACAGTTTCTCTGTGGAGATGGGAGAACCTTCCAGAAGGACAACCATCTCTGCAGCACTCCACCAATCAGGCCTTTATGGTAGAGTGGCCAGACGGAAGCCACTCCTCAGTAAAAGGCACGACAGCCCGCTTGGAGTTTGCCAAAAGGCACCTAAAGGACTCTCAGACTATGAGAAACAAGATTCTCTGGTCTGATGAAACCAAGATTGAACTCTTTGGCCTGAATGCCAAGCGTTACATCTGGAGGAAACCTGGCCCCATCCCTAAGGTGAAGCATGGTGGTGGCAGCATCATGCTGTGGGGATGTTTTTCAGTGGCAGGGACTGGGAGACTAGTCAGGATCGAGGGAAAGATTAATGGAGCAAAGTACAGAGAGATCCTTGATGAAAACCTGCTCCAGAGCGCTCAGGACCTCAGACTGGGGGCCAAGGATCACCTTCCAACAGGACAACGATCCTAAGCACACAGCCAAGACAACACAGGAGTGGCTTCGGGAAAAGTCTCTGAATGTCCTTGAGTGGCCCAGCCAGAGCTCAGACTTGAACCCGATCAAACATCTCTGGAGAGACCTGAAAATAGCTGTGCAGTAACACTCCCCATCCAACCTGACAGAGCTTGAGAGGATCTCCAAAGAAGAATGGGAGAAACTCTCCAAATACAGGTGTGCCAAGCTTGTAGCGTCATACCCAAGAAGACTCAAGGTTGCCAAAGGTGCTTCAACAAAGTACTGAGTAAAGGGTCTGAATACTTAAGTAAATGTGATATTTCAGTAAAATAAAAAATAAAATAAAAAATTGCAAACATTTCTAAAAACCTGTTTTTGCTTCGTCATTATGGGGTATTGTGTGAAAAAAACATTTCAGTTCTAATCCATTTTAGAACAAGGTTGTAACGTAACAAAATGTGGAAAAAGCCTGTGGGGTCTGAATACTTTCCTAATGCCACTGTATAGGCAACTCTGGTACCTGACTGTCCGTGCTCCAAATACCCTACACACCAATCATCAAATGCTTTTGGGAACGGGCAGAAAAAGTTCAAGTTCATCCACGGAGGCAAAAAGGACAATGTGGGACTTTAATTCAATAAGAGAAAAGCTGTGAAATGGAGAGTTGAAGATAAATAGAAGGGAGGGTCATTAAAGTCATGTTTGGGAAAGATTAGGTGAAGTGGTAAAAGAGGATGGTAGCAGTGTCTGCTGTGTTACGTGTGATGATTGTGAGAGACTCTATACAAATTCGACAGTCACAAGACGGGGACTTCAAATAGGCCTATGGCAGGTCAAGGGAACTGTAGCCTACCGTTCAGATGGGTTGAATGGAAAATGAAATCTGGACACTGACTGTAGGTCTATAATCTCTCACATAGCCTTAATATTACCTCCTGCAGAATGAAGCATTTCTTGCAGTAAAAAAAAAAAAAGCTGATAGTATTTCAACCACATAAAATATGCATCCAAGCCAAACTGAAATCTTATTAGAAACACGTTGGGTCGTTTACCACAGCTTTCTATTTCCTTACAACCGGTCAAACTGATGTCATTCGGGAATGTTTTTTATGTTATTGCATTTTCTTCCCGGTCCCTAAACGTCTTTCGCTCTGCAATAAAGCAAAAAGGTGAAAAATAAAACTTAGGGGTCAGAAGAAGAGCCCTGGTCAAAACGCAGCATTACCTGTCTCAGCAGACGTGTCTCCGTCTCTACTCCCCAGCTCCAGGTCTGTGTCCTCAGAGGCTAGGAAAGCTTCGTTCAGAGATAGTTCACCCAGCTTGTCTGTCACTTTGGTCTCTTCCTCCTCTTCATCTCCAGACGGTTTGGCTGCATCATCCTCCTCCTCCTCCTCTCCTCTCTGTTCAGCCTCGTGTCCGTCTCCTTTTACGACCCCCTCAGTGGACTGGGGACTCTGCTCTTCTGACATCACAGTGGAGTGGTTGTTGGACACAGACCATATAGCCACTGGTTCACAATCCTCCTCCTCCTCTTTCTCTCTGTGCCCAGCCCCCTGAGGTTTCTCTTGGTCCTGCTCTGAGGGAGCAGCCTCGGACCTCTCGGCCTCTGATGATTGGTTCTCACCCAGAGACTCCTCCTCCACTCCCTCTGCATCCTTCCCTTCCTCCCCTTCCTCTGCTGGGGATGGGCTCTCCGCGGTGTTCTCCGAAGGTGTGAGGCTGTCCAGGGTGACTAGCGTCTGCTGACGTCTCTGGTTCTGTGGACACAGACAGGACACAGACATTAGAGTGTGGTTAAACAATGCTACAAAAGCTAACTTAACGCTACTGCTTTAATACTCTACTGCTTTATACTGCTACCTCACTCTACTGCTTTAATACATCTACTGCTTATACAGCTACCACACTACTACTGCTTTAAATACAGCTACTGCTTATCATACTCATCTACTGCTTTAATACAGCTACTGCTTTAATACCTGCACCTCATGCTACTTGCTTTCAATACAGCTACTGCTCAACACTGCTACCTCACTGCTACTGCTTTAATACTAGTCACTGCTTTAATACGTTACTGCTTCAACGCTACCATCACTGCTACTGCTTTAATACAGCTACTGCTTAATACAGCTAACTAGCTTTAATACTCACCTGCTGTATAACACTGCTACCTTCACTGCTTACTACTGCTTTAATACATCACTGCTTTAACACTGCTCACCCTCAACTAGCTACTGCTTAATACAGCTACTGCTTTATACAGCTACCTCACTGCTACTGCTTTAATACAGCTACTGCTTTAAACTAGCTACCTCACTTCTACTGCTTAATACAGCTACTGCTTTAATACAGCTACCTTCAATACGCTACTGCTTTAATACACTACTGCCTTTAAACACTGCTACCTCACTGCTTACTGCTTTAATACAGCTACTGCTTTAATACATGCTACCATCACTTCTACTGCTTTAATACAGCTACTGCTTTAATACAGCTACCCATCTACTGCTACTGCTTTAATACAGCTACTGCTTTAATACAGCTCATACCTCAACTTCTACTGCTTTAATACAGCTACTGCTTTAATAAGCTACCATCACTTCTACTGCTTTAATACAGCTACTGCTTTAACACTGCTACCTCACTGCTACTGCTTTAATACAGCTACTGCTTTAATACAGCTACCATACTCACTTGCTTTAATACTGCTACTGCTTTAATACAGCTACCACACTGCTACTGCTTTAATACTGCTACTGCTTTAATACAGCTACCACACTTCTACTGCTTTAATACAGCTACTGCTTTAATACAGCTACCACACTACTACTGCTTAATACATGCTACTGCTTTAATACAGCTACTCACTCTCTGCTTTAATACAGCTACTGCTTTAACACTGCCACACTCTCACTGCTTTTACTGCTTGCTTTAATACACTACCTACTACTGCTACTGCTTTAATACAGCTACCACACTGCTACTGCTTTAATACAGCTACTGCTTTAATACTGCTACCTCACTTCTACTGCTTTAATACAGCTACTGCTTAATACTAGCTACCACACTCTACTGCTTTAATACAGCTACTCTTAAATACATGCTACTGCTTTAATACAGCTACGACACTGCTACTGCTTAATACATGCTACTGCTTTAATACAGCTAACTGCTTAATACGCTACCACACTCTACTGCTTTAATACACAGCTACTGCTTTAATACTGCTACCTCCTGCTACTGCTTTTAATACAGCTACTGCTTCATAACGCTACCACCCACTGCTACTGCTTTAATACAGCTACCGCTGTACATACGCTACTGCTTCCATACAGTCTTACAGCTACCACACTGTCTACTGCTTTAATACATTACTGCTTTAATACCTGCTTCAATCAGCTACCTGCGTTACTACGCTACTGCTTTAATACTGCTACCACTCACTGCTACTGCTTTATACAGCTACTGCTTCAATACAGCTACCACTGCTACTGCTTTAATAAGCTACCTGTAATACATGCTCTGCTTAATACAGCTAACCACACTTCTACTGCTTTAATACAGCTACTGCTTAATACATACCCAGCTACTGCTATGCTTTAATACTGCTACCACCTGCGCTACTGCTTTAATACAGCTACTGCTTTCAATACAGCTACCACTTACTGCTTATACACTACTGCTTAATACGCTACCACCTGCTACTGCTTTAATACAGCTAAACTGCTTTAATACAGCTAACTGCTTTAATACTGCTACCACACTGCTACTGCTTTAATACAGCTACTGCTTTAATACAGCTAACTCTTAACTACTGCTAATACTGATACCACAGGCTACTGCGTTAATACAAGCTTACTGCCTTTAACTACAAGCTACTGCTTTAATACTGCTACCCACACTGCTACTGCTTTATACAAGCTAACTGACTTTAATACAGCTACTATGCTTTAATACAGCTACCACACTGCTACTTGCTTTAAAGACAGCTACTGCTTTAAATACAGCTACCACACCGCTACTGCTTTTATACATCTACTGCTTTAAATACAGTACTGCTTAATACTGCTACGGCTTAATACACTGCTACTTGCTTTAATACAGGCTACTGCTTAATACAGCTTACCACACTGCTACCTTTAATGGGCGTGATGGTAATACAGCTACATGCCTACTGCTTTAATACTAGTCCTGCTTTTTAATACTGCTACCACCTGCTACTTGCTTTAAATACCGCTATCTACTGCTTTAATACAGCTACCATCATACTTCCTAATGCTTTAAATACATCTACTACTGCTTTAATACAGGACTACCACAACTGCCTACTGCTTTAATTCAGCTACTGCCTTTAATACAGCTACCACACTTGCTACTGCTTTAATACAGCTACTGCTTTAATACAGCTACTGCTTTAATACTGCTACCACACTGCTACTGCTTTAATACAGCTACTGCTTTAATACAGCTACCACACTGCTACTGCTTTAATACAGCTACTGCTTTAATACAGCTACTGCTTTAATACTGCTACCACACTGCTACTGCTTTAATACAGCTACTGCTTTAATACTGCTACCACGCTGCTACTGCTTTAATACAGCTACTGCTTTAATACAGCTACCACACTGCTACTGCTTTAATACAGCTACTGATTGAATACTGCTACCACACTTCTACTACTTTAATACAGCTACTGATTTAATACAGCTACTGCTTTAATACAGCTACCATACTTCTACTGCTTTAATACATCTACTGCTTTAATACAGCTACCATACTTCTACTGCTTTAATACTGCTACTGCTTTAATACATCTACTGCTTTAATACAGCTACCATACTTCTACTGCTTTAATACAGCTACTGCTTTAATACAGCTACTGCGTTAATACAGCTACCATACTTCTACTGCTTTAATACATCTACTGCTTTAATACAGCTACCACGCTGCTACTGCTTTAATACAGCTACTGCTTTAATACAGCTACCACGCTGCTACTGCTTTAATACAGCTACTGCTTTAATACAGCTACCACACTGCTACTGCTTTAATACAGCTACCACACTGCTACTGCTTTAATACATATACTGCTTTAATACTGCTACCACACTGCTACTGCTTTAATACAGCTACTGCTTTAATACAGCTTCCACACTTCTATTGCTTTAATACAGCTACTGCTTTAATACAGCTTCCACACTTCTATTGCTTTAATACAGCTAATGCTTTGATACTGCAACTGCTTTCATATTTCTACTGCTTCCACACTGCTACAATATTTCTGCTTTAATACTACTACTGCTGCTTTAATACTTCTATTGCTTCTACTTTAATACTGCATTGACAATGTATGCTACACAAATGGCACCCTATTCCCTATATAGTGCACTACGTTTGACCAGATGGCCCATTCTCTCTGTACTTTAGCACACATGGACTCACACACGTACACACCACACACACCCATACACACTCACACCAACACACACCTATACACACACACACACCAACACAGACATACACACTCACGTACACACCAACACAGACATACACACACATGCTACACACCCACACATCACAACTGCTGCTACCAGACTGTTATTATTATTGCTAATACTGAACTATTTAAACACTTGCCCCTCAATCCCCCCTTCCCTGACACACGTGTAAATATTGGACTATAAACTGGGCCTTCCTGTACGATACTAAAATGTTTATGCTGTTCTACTGAGTAATTTACTTTATGTTCCTATTCTTATAATGGTAGTATTTCTTATTGTTGTTGCGTTGTCCAGAAGGAACCTGCCTGTAAGCATTTCGTTGGACAGCGTATACCATGTGTATCCTGTACATACGACTAATAAAACTTTAAACTTTATAGTGCACTATTCACTGAGCTCTGCTCAAAAGTGGTGCACTATATCATAAAATAAAAATGACAAGTTTATTGAGAACAGGGTACCAGAATGTTCCTAACTGTACCTTGGCCTGTTTCTTGGCCTGTTTCTTCTGCTTCTTCTGCTGGTACTTGCTGCCCACGCCAGTAGGAAGGTCATCACTGTCACCGTTGGTCATGGAGACAGGGCTAGGGCTGTCTCCGTTATTATATTTCACCTTACTGCTAGCCTTCTGGTTCCCTGTTCCGTTCTTCTGACTCTTCTTCCTGTAGGCCTGAGAGACAGCAGCAACCATGACGTTAAAGCAGTATAGCATAACGGTAACATGCCATAGCATAGCATGGCATAACATAGCATGGCATAACATAGCATAGCATAACATAGCATAACATAGCATAGCATGGCATAAGCATAGCATAACATAGCATAGCATAGCATAGCATGGCATAACATAGCATAGCATAACATAGCATAACATAGCATAACATAGCATAGCATAGCATGGCATAACATGAACCATAAACAGCTAGGCTATACCCAGAAGATAAACGGCTGGTAAAACATCAAGGAAATGTCCTCATCCATCATGGAATGACAGCATGTTTTGATGATGTCATACACAGCTTGTGTACATGTTGTTTTCATATGCAGCCAGCGCACGTTTCATGTGTATGACACAGCTCAGTGTGCAGTTTTTTAATGTGTCCATTTACACAGCCAGTGCACGTTTTCATGATGTCATACACAGCCAGCGCACACGTTTTCATGCCATACGCAGCCAGTGCTCGTTTTGATGATGTCATACACAGCCAGTGCACATGTTGTTTTCATGATGTCATACAAAAAGACGCGTACAAAAAGACAAACCTATCATCATTACCTGGTCTGAGACAGGAAGAGACAGATCCAGAAACATCTCCTTGACCAAAGACACCTACAAAATAAACAACAGACATGCAACATATGGATGTGTTGTTGTTGTTGTTGTTGTTGTTGTTGTTGTTGTTAGGGGTCAAAAGGTGTTCACAGGGGATGGATGACCTTTAGTATCGTTCAGCTCTTGGCTTCTTGCTCTGACACAGTTGGTGTAACAGGTTAGAAACTCAAGCTAAGTGGATTTTGATCTGTTCCGTTTTCTGTCTCTTAGGTTTCTGTACGTACCGTCTTGCATTGCTGACACATGACCGTGCTGGTCATCTCCCCACCAAACACCTGGTCAACAAAGTTACTAGGAGCTCCCTTCTTCTCATACTCTGAAACAGACAAACCACAACATGGATACCGAAGGATGGACCCAAGGGACGTACTGGACTAGGAAAGCCTGGGAGAGATACCGACACAGAATGTAATATCCTATAGTATCGCAAGTTGTCCAAATTCGTGGAATATCAATCTAAAATCAATCAAAATGTATTTACAGTGCATTCGGAAAGTATTCAGACCCCTTGACTTTTTCCACATTTTGTTACGTTACAGCCTTATTCTATAATGGATTTTTTTTTAAAAAAAAATAATCCTCAAACTACACACAATACCCCATAATGACAAAGCAAAAAAAGGTTTAGAAAATGTTTGCAAATTTATTAAAAATAAAAAAACTGAAATACCTTATTTACAGTTGAAGTCGGAAGTTTACGTATACCTTTGCCAAATACATTTAAACTCAGTTTTTCACAATTCCTGACATTTAATCCTAGTAAAAATTCCCTGTCTTAGGTCAGTTAGGATCACCACTTTATTTTAAGAATGTGAAATGTCAGAATAACAGTTGAGAGAATGATTTATTTCAGCTTTTATTTCTTTCATCACATTCCCAGTGGGTCAGAAGTTTACATACACTCAATTAGTATTTGGTAGCATTGCCTTTAAATTATTTAACTTGGGTCAAACGATTCGGTAGCCTTCCACAAGCTTCCCACAATTAGTTGGGTGAATTTTGGCCCATTCCTCCTGACAGAGCTGGTGTAACTGAGTCAGGTTTGTAGGCCTCCTTGCTCGCACACACTTTTTCAGTTCTGCCCACACATTTTCTATAGGATTGAGGTCAGGGCTTTGTGATGGCCACTCCAATACCTTGACTTTGTTGTCCTTAAGCCTTACTTTGGAAGTATGTTTGGGTTCATTGTCCATTTGGAAGACCCATTTTCGACCAAGCTTTAACTTCCTGACTGATGTCTTGAGATGTTGCTTCAATATATCCACATCATTTTCCGTCCTCATGATGCCATCTATTTTGTGAAGTGCACCAGTCCCTCCTGCAGCAAAGCACCCCCACAGCATAATGCTGCCACCCCCGTGCTTCACGGTTGGGATGGTGTTCTTCGGCTTGCAAGCCTACCCCTTTTTCCTCCAAACATAACGATGGTCATTATGGCCAAACAGTTCTATTTTTGTTTCATCAGACCAGAGAACATTTCTCCAAAAAGTATGATCTTTGTCCCCATGTGCAGTAGCAAACCGTAGTCTGGCTTTTTTATGGCGGTTTTGGAGCAGTGGCTTCTTCCTTGCTGAGCGGCCTTTCAGGTTATGTCGATATAGGACTCGTTTTACTGTGGATATAGATACTTTTGTACCTGTTTCCTCCAGCATCTTCACAAGGTCCTTCACTGTTGTTCTGGGATTGATTTGCACTTTTCGCATCAAAGTACGTTAATCTCTAGGAGACAGAACGCGTCTCCTTCCTGAGCAGTATGACGGCTGCGTGGTCCCATGGTGTTTATACTTGCGTACTATTGTTTGTACAGATGAACGTGGTATCTTCAGGCGTTTGGAAATTGCTCCCAAGGATGAACCAGACTTGTGGAGGTTTACACATTTTTTTCTGAGGTCTTGGCTGATTTCTTTTGATTTTCCCATGATGCCAAGCAAAGAGGCACTGCGTTTGAAGGTAGGCCTTGAAATACATCCACAGGTACACCTCCAATTGACTCAAATTATGTCAATTAGCCTATCAGAAGCTTCTAAAGCCATGACATCATTTTCTGGAATTTTCCAAGTTGTTTGAAGGCACAGTCAACTTAGTGTATGTAAACTTCTGACCCACTGGAATTGTGATACAGTGAATTATAAGAGAAATTATCTGTCTGAAGGAATTGTCCGTAGAGCTCTGAGACAGGATTGTGTTGAGACACATTTCCGCAGCATTGAAGGTCACCCTGAACACAGTGGCCTCCATCATTCTTAAATGGAAGAAGTTTGGAACCACCAAGACCCTTCCTAGAGCGGGCCGCCCGGCCAAACTGAGGAATCAGGGGACAAGGGTCTTGGTCAGGGAGGTGACCAAGAACCTGATGGTCACTCTGACAGAGCTCCAGAGTTCCTCTGTGGAGATGGGAGAACCTTCCAGAAGGACAACCAACTCTGCAGCACTCCAACAATCAGGCCTATATGGTAGAGTGGCCAGACGGAAGCCACTCCTCAGTAAAAGGCACATGACAGCCCGCTTGGAGTTTACCAAAAGGCACCTAAAGGACTCTCAGACCCATGAGAAACAAGATTCTCTGGTCTGATGAAACCAAGATTGAACTCTTTGACCCGAATGCCAAGCGTCACATCTGGAGGAAAACCAGGCACCGCTCATCATCACCTGGCCAATACCATCCCTACGGTGAAGCATGGTGGTGGCAGCATCATGCTGTGGGGATGTTTTTCAGCGGCAGGGACTGGGAAACTAGTCAGGATCGAGGGAAAGATGAATGCCGCCAAGTACAGAGATCCTTGATGAAAACCTGCTCCAGAGCGCTCAGGACCTCAGACTGGGGCGAAGGTTCACCTTCCAAAAGGACAACGACTCTAAGCACACAGCCAAGACAATGCAGGAGGGGCTTTGGGATAAAGTCTCAATGTCCTTGAGTGGCCCAGCCAGAGCCCGGACTTGAACCCGATCGAATATCTCTGGAGAGACCTGAAAATAGCTGTGCAGCGACGCTCCCCATCCAACCTGACAGAGCTTGAGAGGATCTGCAGAGAAGAATGGGAGAAACTCCCCAAATACAGGTGTGCCAAGCTTGTAGGGTCATACCCAAGATGACTCGAGGCTGTAATCGCTGCCAAATATGCTTCAACAAAGTACTGAGTAAAGGGTCTGAATACTGAATATCATATTTCCGTTTTCTCTAAAAACCGTTTTTTTTGCTTTGCCATTATTGGGTAGTGTGTGTAGATTGATGAGGGGGAAGAAACGATGTAATCAATTTTTGAATAAGGCTGTAACATTTTGAAAAAGTGAAGGGGGGGTCTGAATACTTTCCGATTGCACGGTTTAAGCCCTTTTTACATCAGCAGTTTTCACAAAGTGCTTTTCAGATTCCCAGCCTAAAAAACCCAAACAGGAAGCAACGCAGAGGCGGAACCACTAGCCTTACCCTTGACTAAAGTCTTAGATTGTTCAGCATCTCTTCCGTGTTTTTTCAGTGCTTCCGATATTCCAGAGCTCAGTCTCTGGAGAAAGAGGATGAGACGTGTATATAATGCTACAGCAAAACAGGATTTCATTTAGAGGAAAGGGAAATCTAATTTGTGAGGCTTGGTACAAATTCATCCTGTTCAGCTAAATAACTGTAATAAATTTACATCCCAATGTTCGAACTAAATATGTTGAATTATAAACAGATCATTACATCTTTAAAGATCACTAAAACAGTTACAGTGAGGGTAAAAAAGTATTTGATCCCCTGCTGATTTTGTACGTTTGCCCACTGACAAAGACATGATCAGTCTATAATTTTAAATGGTAGGTTTATTTGAACAGTGAGAGACAGAATGCCAACAATAAAATCAAGAAAAACGCATGTCAAAAATGTTATGAATTGATTTGCATTTTAATGAGGGAAATAAGTATTTGACCCCTCTGCAAAACATGACTTAGTACTTGGTGGCAAAACCCTTGTTGGCAATCACAGAGGTCAGACATTTCTTGTAGTTGGCCACCAGGTTTGCACATATCTCAGGAGGGATTTTGTTCCACTCCTCTTTGCAGATCTTCTCCGAGTCATTAAGGTTTCGAGGTTGACGTTTGGCAACTCAAACCTTCAGCTCCCTCCACAGATTTTCTATGGGGTTAAGGTCTGGAGACTGGCTAGGCCACTCCAGGAACTTAATGTGCTTCTTATTGAGCCACTCCTTTGTCGCCTTGGCCATGTGTTTTGGGTCATTGTCATGCTGGAATACCCATCCACGACCCATTTTCAATGCCCTGGCTGAGGGAAGGAGGTTCTCACCCAAGATTTGACGGTACATGGCCCCGTCCATCGTCCCTTTGATGCAGTGAACTTGTCCTGTCCCCTTAGCAGAAAAACACCCCCAAAGCATAATGTTTCCACCTCCATGTTTGACGGTGAGGATGGTGTTCTTGGGGTCATAGGCAGCATTCCTCCTCCTCCAAACACGGCGAGTTGAGTTGATGCCAAAGAGCTCGATTTTGGTCTCATCTGACCACAACACTTTCACCCAGTTCTCTGAATCATTCAGATGTTCATTGGCAAACTTCAGACGGGCATGTATATGTGCTTTCTTGAGCAGGGGACCTTGCGGGCGCTGCAGGATTTCAGTCCTTCACGGCGTAGTGTGTTACCAATTGTTTTCTTGGTGACTATGGTCCCAGCTGCCTTGAGATCATTGACAAGATCCTCCCGTGTAGTTCTGGGCTGATTCCTCACCGTTCTCATGATCATTGCAACTCCACGAGGTGAGATCTTGCATGGAGCCCCAGGCCGAGGGAGATTGACAGTACATTTGTGTTTCTTCCATTTGCGAATAATCGCACAAACTGTTGTCACCTTCTCACCAAGCTCCTTGGCAATGGTCTTTTAGCCCATTCCAGCCTTGTGTAGGTCTACAATCTTGTCCCTGACATCCTTGGAGAGCTCTTTGGTCTTGGCCATGGTGGAGAGTTTGGAATCTGATTGATTGATTGCTTCTGTGGACAGGTGTCTTTTATACAGGTAACAAGCTGAGATTAGGAGCACTCCCTTTAAGAGTGTGCTCCTAATCTCAGCTCGTTACCTGTATAAAAGACACCTGGGAGCCAGACATCTTTCTGATTGAGAGGGGGTCAAATACTTATTTCCCTCATTAAAATGCAAATCAATTTATAAAAAAATTTACATGCGTTTTTCTGGATTCTTTTGTTGTTATTCTGACTCTCACTGTTCAAATAAACCTACCATTAAAATTATAGACTGATCATGTCTTTGTCAGTGGGCAAATGTACAAAAATCAGTAGGGGATCAAATACTTTTTTCCCCCTCACTCGATCTCCTGTGTGTCTGTAGCCTATTGGTTACCAGTGTAGCAGTAGTGAGATCTGGTAAACAGTCTTACTTTCATCTCTTCAGCTCTCATCCCATCCAGCAGGTAGCGGAGAAGCTCCTGGCTATCCTGCTGCTGAAACCCTTTAAACCTCACCGCTCTGGGGAGGGGAGGGGAGGAGAGGGGGGGGGGAGGGGGGGAGAGAGAGAGAGCGAGAGAGAGAGAGAGAGAGAGAGGAGAGAGAGAGAGAGAGGAGATGAGGAGGAGAGAGATGAGAGAGAGAGAGAGAGAGAGAGAAGAGAGAGAAATAAAGAATGGAGGGAGGGGGGGGGGAGAGGGAGACAGAGGAGAGAGATGGAGATCAGACGGAGAGAAGAGGGAGAGGGAAAACCTTTCTGATGTAAGAGTGCTGATTTCAACAGAAACTTTAACTTGAAGGCAGAAATCTGAAGCGATATTAATATGTAAATCTCACTACTCACTTTTTGCAGACCTGACTGAAGAGTTCTCTCGGGGTGACCACCCCTTTCTTAGTCTCCTGGATTTCGTTCAGAGTCTGACACATCGCCATGGTCAGAGACCCCGGAGGACCTAGCTGCACCCGAATGGGTTCCTGGAGGAAACAGCATCATCAACAACAACAGAACAGGGTATTCCGTTGGAAGTATAAGACAGACCTAGCTGGGGGTCAGTCAGGAGAAAACGTTTTGCTACGGTGTGATCTACTGAATCTCCTCCTCTGCACATGCAGCAGCTACTCTTCCTGGGATCCACATAAAAACGTACACAACAAGTACAGAGTAGTATGGTGAGGAGATCTACCAGGAGAGAAAGGGAACCTACCAGGTCTGAGGAGACTCACAGGTGAAGAGAGGTGAGGAGATCTACCAGGAGAGAAAGGGAACCTACCAGGTCTGAGGAGACTCCAGGTGAAGAGAGGTGAGGAGATCTACCAGGAGAGAAAGGGAACCTACCAGGTCTGAGGAGACTCCAGGTGAAGAGATCTACCAGGAGAGAAAGGGAACCTACCAGGTCTGAGGAGACTCCAGGTGAAGAGAGGTGAGGAGATCTACCAGGAGAGAAAGGGAACCTACCAGGTCTGAGGAGACTCACAGGTGAAGAGAGGTGAGATCTACCATGAGAGAAAGGGAACCTACCAGGTCTGAGGAGACTCCAGGTGAAGAGAGGTGAGGAGATCTACCAGGAGAGAAAGGGAACCTACCAGGTCTGAGGAGACTCCAGATGAAGAGAGGTGAGGAGATCTACCAGGAGAGAAAGGGAACCTACCAGGTCTGAGGAGACTCCAGGTGAAGAGAGGTGAGGAGATCTACCAGGAGAGAAAGGGAACCTACCAGGTCTGAGGAGACTCACAGGTGAAGAGAGGTGAGGAGATCTACCAGGAGAGAAAGGGAACCTACCAGGTCTGAGGAGACTCCAGGTGAAGAGAGGTGAGGAGATCTACCAGGAGAGAAAGGGAACCTACCAGGCCTGAGGAGACTCCAGGTGAAGAGAGGTGAGGAGATCTACCAGGAGAGAAAGGGAACCTACCAGGTCTGAGGAGACTCCAGGCGTGATGGTGACACTGGTCTTCTCTTCAGCTGTCACCTTGTTGATGACCTCTCTCAACATCTGTGTCTGAGAGAGGGTCTGCAATAGAAACACGGAGAACAATGGTATATGACTCTACACATATCATTCAGAAATAAGCCTACCAATAAATACCAATAGTAACAAACTGAACTGTCACATTCAGACCAAGGCTGTGTACGAAAGGGTTTCCAAATACCTACATAGTGTGCTATTTTTTGACCAGGACCAATAGGGGTCAAAAGTAGTGCACTATATGGGGCCCAATAGGGCTCTGGTCAAAAGTAGTGCACTATGTAGGGAATAGTGTGCCATTCCGGACACAGCCCTTCAAGGCTCCTTACCTGAACAACAGAGTTGAAGAAACAGGTGTTTCCAAGGTTACTGAGTCCTCTTACTGACACTGCACCGCTGCTGGCTCCTCCCCCTGCCTTCTGATCTTTAGTCAAACTGCAGCTCTCTTTCTCTTTCTTGGCGTTCTTCTTCTGGTTTTCTTTCGGTTGTGTCACTGCGTTCTCCTTCTCTTCTTTTACTTCTGGCTTGGTTTCCTGTGGCTCTTCTATCAGGCTGTCTTCCAGCTTCACTGTTGAATGCTCTGGAGTCAAATCGCAACGTAATAATCGTTACAATAATGAATTTACCATACAATACTAGTCAAATCCGATGCTCATCTAATCATGTTGCTCAGTCGTATTGCGGTAGAATTCATTCAAAAGTAGAAGGCTGCTCCAAACAGAGACAACATTAAAAATGATCAAAGATAAGGCACACTAAAAGTCCAACAGGAACGTAGTCTAGATATGGGACTCACTTCTCTGTGGACTTTGGTTCCGGGGCTCAGACAAGGCCTGTTTCTTAACGTTGTTCACCAGCTGAGCCAGATGGCCTGTTTTAGAGTACTGGACATCGTCGTCACAGATGTAACACCTATAGGCCAAGACCACACAAGACAATGGTCAGGCATGCAAAATGGTGAGGTGCAAAATAATGTGACGATTTGACAAAACAACTAGCGTACAGTGTAGCGTAATGTGGTGAACGCACTTTAAAATATGAAATTATAAATAATAGTAATTTTGTATTATCATGGTTATAAACTTTGACGCAGAGTTTTGCCTGGTCAGCTCATGTAGTCAGGTAAAACTCCTGTGCCTAGTTATGGGGCCTGTCACCAAGCTGTTATTCAATACCATACACTGATCCTTGTGTACAATATGTCATTCTTCTACATGTGCAGTCTTCAGTGAGAGTGATAGAGGGTCGGGAGTTTACCCTGACCACGCAACCTTCTCAAGAAAAACTCTGGGCCCTTTTCTTCTGGTCGCGGGACATGGTCAGTAAAAACCTCCTGGACCCAGTTTGAAATTGTTAGATATCAATTTGAAATTGTAAGATATTACTGCACTGTCGGAGCTAGAAGCACAAGCATTTCGCTACACCCGCTATGACATCTGCTAAACACGTGTATGTGACAAATAACATTTGATTTGATTTGATAGCGGAACAGGGCCCGTCCCAAATGACACCCTATTCCCTACATAGTGCACTATTTTTTTTGGGACCAGAGCCCATACATGGTGCACTATGTTGGGAATAGGGTCCCGATTTGGGAAGCAGAGTCGCAGACACAGTGTTCCATCCCCTCACCAGACGCTCCAGTTGTCCAGGCTGAGCACCAGACAGTGAGGGTCTGACCGAGGCTTCTCATAGTGCTTGATGGCATGCTGATCCTCAGAGGTACGCCCACATCCCTGGCAACCCAGAAAGACTGTTAGTACAAGTACATTTCTCACGCGCACGCACACGCCTCTCTACAATCTAATGTATCCATGGACCCTTACTCTGTGTCCGCATTTTAAGCACATCCATATCATCGGTGTTTCTCTCATCTCCTCTGATGGATCCTCTCCAGCGGCAGCCGGCTCTTCATCCTTACAGTCTTGGCAGCTGTTACGGGTGTAGTCTATCCCAGGCTTCTTCAGGAAGCTGTGGTCTACACCTTTACGGATATGGCTGCACGATGGACCTGCAGTGAGAGGGACACAGTTAGACTAGCTAATGGTAGGTAATAATTACATTGTATCTGTCCTGTATTTGTGTATTGGTGTGTGTGTGTGTGTGTGTGTGTGTGTGTGTGAGAGAGAGATACCCTACCAGTCAGGTCAATCACTTCGTCCTCTCTAGGACCTTTCTGCCTCCTCTTCACCATCTTATCTGGAAGACTTTAGACACCTGACCTAGACAGAATGAGGAGTCATCACAAACTCCAGGTTAGCCAGAGAGGAGTGTACCTAGTAGTGACATGTTACTCAGGTAAATATACAACTTCTGACTTGGGGGGATTTGGGGGGGGAACTGTAGTTAACTTAACGTCAATTACAGGAACAGACTTAGCTAGCCTACTTATAAAACTGTAGCTAGTTAATGCGAATAGCCATTGTAACTGTAGCTACCATTACCGTCCATGGGCTTGGGCGTCTGTCAAGCATCCACTACAATGTTTTGATTCATGTTTTTGGCTAATTGCAAGAAAGAGATGACACAATAAATAAACCTAGCCAGCAATGTGACTAGATAGGTACCCGTCATCAACCTACCCGGCAGAGGAGCGTGATTTGTGAATCACAGTTGGCAGTTTCGTTTTCCCTTCTTTGAGTAAGACTTCAAACTATGCATATCGTTTTTGCCGAGTCCCTATCTACAGCTAGCGACCTTCAGGAAAAATAATACACCAAACGGTAATAACTACAAAAAATGATAGCTATCCATATTTTAAAACAATAACAGCTTAAGCCAGTTGACACATATACTTGAACAAAAAAAGTGCTGTGGTGGTGTAGATAGAACAATGAGACAGATATTTTTCCGGATGTATAAATGTGAAGCATCCGCTCGGTGTTTCCACTCACTACCAAATATGGTAGTAAGTCCACTGGTGGGCAGTGGGAGAAAGATGCAACGAGATGGATTTAGGCCGACATGCTGCACATTTTCTCATCGATGAAACATTTTATTTCAATACAGCTTTCTGTTCCCAAAACTAAAATCTGTTATGAACAGAGTGGATTAAGTTTTGTAGACTTTACCCTTTGCAAAAGTTTAATTTTTTAAAATCGCGTTGTTCAGGAGTGCACAAGCGCACTTCACAGAGTAGGCGTTCCCTAACGGAAATATGTAGATGATGCTAGAACGCACCAATAGGATCTCGCTAGCTCCTGCTTGGCTCTGCCCACTAGGACTAAGTTGTTCCCATTGGAAACGACAGGCTGTGGTCTATCTTGGTTTAGTTATAAATCGTTGGTACCACTTGAAGCATGGTTGTGACTAGAGGGAGTACAGCTACGACCGAAAGTGACAGGTTAGGAGAGTGTTTTACCTAACTCGAACCCTTTTCCTAACCTTAACCTAATTCGCCTAACCTGCACGTGAATTACCCAAACCTTCTGTGAACATTCTCCTAACCTACTACGAAAAAGTAACATCCGGTCATAGCTGTATTCCCTCTAGTCAGAACCATGAAGCAGGCAAGAATAACTAAGTACTTCCGGGTCACGGATTTGTAGAGTCCCGTCCTGTATACCACAGATATAACATTGTGTATATTTTGTAAATTAGAGAAAAACATTATGGGAAATGTGTAAGATTATCGATATATTTTTTACTAATTATCATACAAAGAATAATTAACAGTATTTCTATGAGATACTATGTGGGCTTTCACGTCTAAATGATCAACAATGTTTATTTATTGCACAGTACAACATTTTCTGTACGTTTTGTCGGGGGATACATTCTACTCAGGAGCACTTCTAGTTTCCAAATCCACAGAGTTCACACGCAGAGGAGCGTCGCTGCTAATTTAGCTGCCCTTAAAGAGTGGCGAATCAGCTTTAATCCAATCGGACATACATATTGCCATACACTATTTTTTAGAACGATGAAATATTTTTTTAAATAACTAAACCAAGATAGACCACAGCCTGTCGTTTCCAATGGGAACAAATTAGTCATAGTGGGCAGAGCCAAGCAGGAGCTAGAGAGATCCTATTGGTGCGTTCTAGCATCATCTGCATATTCCCGTTAAGGAACGCCTACTCTGTAAAGTGCGCTTGTGCAATAACTCAATTCGCCTTTTCGCATTTTCTAAACAACGGCATTTTTAAAAAACGTTTGAAAAGGGCAAATTCTACAAAACTGAGTCCACTCTGTTCATAAAATATTTCGTTTTGGGAACAGAAAACTCTATTGAGAACAAATGTTTCATCGATGAGAACATTTGCAGAATGTCGGCCAAAATCCATCTCCATCCATCTTCTCTCACTGCCCGCCAGTGGGCTTCCTCTCATCACCATATTTGGTAGTGAGGGGAAACGCCAATTGGATCCTTCACATTTATACATCCCAGTGAAATATATGTCTCATTGTTCTATCTGTGACGACTGTTTAAGGGTGCGTTCGTAAATTCGCTCTGGCAATCTACTCCGAATTCAGAGCGCAGAATAACTGATGAATTTACGAACGTGCAACACCAATTGAATATGGTCGGTGTCAGTAAACATCGGCCCAAAAAAAAAAAGCGTAATTAAATTGTTGCCAGCAGCACAGTTACATTCACCAACGCCCTGGATAAGATGAAAACACCCTAACCAGCTCTGCTAGGGCGAGTAAAATGGTCAGAATGAGGTGTTCTCTCATTTGTGTGTGGAAGTAGCTAGCAAGCTAGCCAACTTTATCCAGTTAGCTTGGGTGCTTGACTGCCGTTGTGCGCTCTGAATTTACGAACGCCCAGAGCACACGCTGTGTAGGTTCTGGCACTCCATATTGAATTTACGAACACACCCTATAAGTTACAGTATATTCGGCCCGGTGTACATCCGGTCTAGTAGGTAAATGTATCCGGGTCGTTAGAATCGCTACGCTAGCATCGTAAACTAATCACAGGGATTTTCATGAACGCTATTTGGTAGTGTGTCATGTTGACGTGGTGCAAAGAATCACTGATGCCCTCATACAGAATCGGATTTTCTGTCCAGCTAGCCATAGATAGTAGGCTAATTTAAAAGTTTTTGGCGATTTGCAACTAGCATACTGATGGCTAACAGCCAATGAGTTTGGGTCCTCCTGTAACGTTTCAGTGAAAAGCATGCTGAAATCTGTTCCGGCTCGCCTTATCAAGAGAACATGACACTGCCGGTGCTGGTGACGTGTAACTTGGAAGTTCTTTCAATCTTTTTGACATCCGCAGGTGCTGAAATAACAATCACTGCCCACATGTCCTCATAGGCAAATTCTGAACAAGGAGTCTTAACAAGGCTTTAAAACGTACTTTCTGGAGGAGTCTTAGAACATTATGGCCCGTCTAGAGCAGGCAGAATCTCATCTGGCTGAGATGGAGCTACTCCTCAGCATGTACCCTGGTGAAGACGAGCTGGAGATTACTGACCAACTAGCTGTGGCTGAGCTCAGGGAGTATGTGGCGGGAGCGACAGATACCTATCCTCCCTCCAGACCACACATCGTCATCAAACAGAAGATGGACACTGACACTGTGAAGGGGGTAGGCTAAAAACAAAACACAGAACATGAGAATCATTCTACATTCACTTGGCATGACTGACTCACTCAGCTGAGACCATATAGGTCAGGGGTGTTCAACTATTACCCTACAAGTCCCGGAGCCTGCTGGTGTTCTGTTCTACCTGATAATTAATTGCACCACACTTGGTGTTCCGGGTCTAAAATCAGTCCCTGATTAGAGGGGAACAATAAAAACAAATGCAGTGGAACTGACTTGGAGGTCCAGAGTTGAGTTTGAGGACTACAGGGTCTATAAAACACAGAACCTGACAATCATTCTATTCTACATTCACTGAGTGTCACACAGTAGCTACGGATATCTATTGACTCGGATCAGCTTACAAATATTTACAGCATTACATATTTATTAATTTACACATGATTTCCCTTCCTTTGTACTCTTCCTCTCAGGTGAACGTGACCATATCTTGCACCTACTCATCAGACTACCCTAATGTCTTACCTGAAATAGCTGTAAGGTAAGCCAGTTCTTTAACCCTATTGCCCTAATATAATTGTCCTAAGGGCACAAATGAAGTTTTTGAATTAAATTGAGTTCTCCTCCCCCCAGGTGTCCTGACCTTAGCCGATCCCAGCAGGCTCAGCTTCACTCAGACATGAACGCCTACCTGTCAGAGAGCTGCCAAGGAGATGTATGCATCCTCTCTGCCGTCGAGTGGATCAAAGACAACCTGCACCTGTACCTGACTGACAAGAGCACATCATCATCAACAGCAGCCCCAGGCAAGAAAGAGTCTCGGTCTACCTTCTCTTTTCCGCAGCCCAAAGGTATCTTTTTACCTGTTTTTATTTATTGTACGACATAATTTTACGTACCAAGAAGTTCCAATAAACCTAACCCTTAGCACTTTGTGGTTTTGACAAATAAATAACTAAAATGTATGTATTATTGTATTATTATTATTATTATTATTATTATAGAGCAGTTCAGTCGCCTATGGATCTACAGCCACCACATCTATAACAAGAGGAAGAGGAAGAACATTCTGGAGTGGTCCAAGGAGTTGGGTCTGTCAGGGTTCAGTATGCCTGGCAAGCCTGGGATCGTCTGTGTGGAAGGCCCTCATTCGGCCTGCGAAGACTTCTGGGCCAGGTAGGGGTTATACATGTGTTATGTGTTGTACATGTGTTGTTGTTTTTTTTGGGGGGGGGGGCGGGGCTGTCCATCCATTCCACCTTAACATATATATATATATATTTTTTTTACAAACATAAAATGGCTCCATAGGAATACCATTAACTGTAAGGTAAATAGCATCAGACTGCAATATTAGCGTAGCACCACGAGTGCTGTAGTACTCTAAATCTTTTATAACACTCTCCTCTGTTTGTGTTTTACAGGGTGAAGGTTCTGACCTGGAAGAAGATCATGATTCGCCACAGGGAGGATGTTCCTCTGGACAGTCAGAGTGCTGAGGGCAGCATGGCGGACAACGTGGATTCCCTCCGTAGGTTCACAGGGTTCGAGGAGGCCATGTTTGATCCACACGGGAACAGAGGAAACCATATGGACCTGGGCCAGCTCTACACGTACCTCAACGAGAGAGGATGTGGAGACGTCTTTCAGCTTTACTTTGGAATTGAAGGAAGGTAGTATAGCTGATAGGATAGAGTTTTAGAACTAAATTAGCCTGGTCCCAGAACTGTTGGTTGTTCTCAAATGAACGCTGTACCCAAATGAACCAATGGCAGGAATCAAAGCATATTGCGCATTAGATGAGGTATTCTCAGTATGGATGAGCCTAGGATGCTGTTATTTGTTACTTTATTCATTTCTACTAAACAGTACGTTCGAAGTAGTATGATTAGTACACATTATGTTGTTTCAGTAAGTAGTAGACAATATAGAATTTGGACATGGCCATTGTCTATGGGGGTTATTTTTGAATGTTAAAGAAATCTGCTTTACACCCGAATACCAAAATAATCAACAGATTGAGCTCAATATGCCAACTACAGACCATTTGTATTATTGAATACAGACACACGATCCACAAAGTCCTTACGTACGGAACACAGTTGCTTCCCTGCAGAATCCCTCTGACTGTTCTCAGCCTGACGCTTTACGAACCAACGTAGCAACTGGGAGTCGGGGACAACAGACGTTATCACCTGTGTATACAGTTATGGACAGTGTTTAGGAGAGGGGTGCAGCTGGTCCCGTCTGCAACCCTTTTAACACCATAGCTAATCCACACAGATGAGCTCACAGTAAGGTGGGGAAGGTGGTTTGTGTGGGTTTACTTGAACCCCTTCTCAAATACAGGCCTTGAAGTCTGAAAACCCCTTCCCCTCTAAACACAGTTAGATTCAGAACTGTGACACCAGTTAGGGGGAATCCCTAACTACCAGGGAGAAAAGAAAACCACCAGTGCTGTGGATAGCGTCGCTCAGACTTGGGTTTCCACACCTCTTCTCCATCAGCCCCTCCGCTCCAGATCCCTTGTATCTGCGTCCAGGATGGGATGGTAGTTTGGACCATACTGGCAGTCAAATGAAACACGCTGAAACGCAAAGTGAGAGTGGTTTGCAGATTCTTCACACGTGTGATCAAACTTTATTTTATACGTTTTAATACATCAATGCATTCTACAAGCAAAATACAAAACATAAAACAAAATAATGTCAAATATATCAAACTATAAATAAATATGAATAGGTTAGAAACCCCAGTGGTGCTCGGATAGAGAATACTGTACTATGAGTGGTTCGGCAGTCCGGGAGACGAGTAACCTTGCCTGAGAACTGAAAACGTACGTTAGCTTCCTGAGCCAATGTCTTGGCTTTAGCACAGCAGGCTATCATGGTCTTGTGGTTCAAACCCAGTCGGTCAATTAAAAAGGACCTAGCTGGAGAAACTGTGTCATTCTTGGAAAAACAAGGGTGGTAATAATGGTGAATAAAGTGTATTAACACCCTTACTGGGGTGCATGGAACATGTCTATGCACCTCACAGCTCGAGTGACACCTCCAACAAAGTGTACACTCACTAACTAAGTCGCTCTAAATGACTAAACTGTAAATGTAAAATGTACATCAAGTGGAACTGACAGTGTTTTAGCAACATACAATCTTATTAAAATCTGTTCATATACACCCCCAGGAAGAATATGCCTTTTAATTTCTGACAAATGAGCAATATATATGGTCATTTTCATAGAATGTTTGGGAATGATGTACAGTAAGGCATTTGTGCAAATTCTATATCGACATAGAGTGGGAAAGCAGCCGTGCGGTTTGGACAATTAATAGACACTGCAGTACATAAAACCTAATAAAAACATGTCAGACTTGTCCAGGTCTAAACCACAGTACCAGTCAAAAGGTTGGACACACCTACTCATTCCAGGGTTTTTCTTTACTTTTACTATTTTCTACATTGTAGAATAATAGTGAAGACATCAATACTATGAAATAACACATATGGAATCATGTAGTAACCAAAAAAGTGTTAAACAAATCAAAATATATTTAAAATTTGAGATTCTTTAAAGTAGCCACCCTTTGCCTTGATGAAAGCTTTGCACACTCTTGGCATTCTCTCAACCAGCTTCATGAGGTAGTCACCTGGAATGCATTTCAATTAACAGGTGTACCTTGTTAAAAGTTAATTTGTGGAATGTCTTTCCTTCTTAATGCGTTTGAGCCAATCAGTTGTGTTGTGACAAGGTAGGTGGGGTATACAGAAGATGGCCCTATTTGGTAAAGACCAAGTCCATATTATGGCAAGAACAGCTCAAATAAGCAAAGAGAAACGACAGTCCATCATTACTTTAAGACATGTAGGTCAGTCAATCCCGAAAATTTCAAGAATTTTGAAAGTTTCTTCAAGTGCAGTCACAAAAACCATCAAGCGCTATGATGAAATCGGCTCTCATGAGGACCGCCACAGGAAAGGAAGACCCAGAGTTACCTCTGCTGCAGAGGATAAGTTTATTAGAGTTACCAGCCTCAGAAATTGCAGCCCAAATAAATGCTTCACAGAGTTCAAGTAACAGACATATCTCAACATCAACTGTTCAGAGGAGACTGTGTGAATCAGGCCTTCATGGTTGAATTGCTGCAAAGAAAGCACTACTAAAGGACACCAATAAGATGAAGAGACTTGCTTGGGCCAAGAAACATGAGCAATGGACATTAGACCGGTGGAAATCTGTCCTTTGGTCTGAAGTCCAAATTTGAGATTTTTGGTTCCAACCGTCGTGTCTTTGTGAGACACAGAGTAGGTGAACGGGTGATCTCCGCATGTGTGGTTCCCACCGTGAAGTATGGAGGAGGAGGTGTGATGGTGTGGGTGTGCTTTGCTGGTGACACTGTCTGTGATTTATTTAGAATTCAAGGCACACTTAACCAGCATGGCTACCACAGCAATCTGCAGCGATACGCCATCCCATCTGGTTTCTGCTTAGTGGGACCATCATTTGTTTTTCAACAGGACAATGACCCAACACACCTCCAGGCAGTATAAGTGCTATTTGACCAAGAAGGAGAGTGATGGAGTGCTGCATCAGATGACCTGGCCTTCTCAGTCACCCGACCTCAACCCAATTGAGATGGTTTGGGATGAGTTGGACCACAGAGTGACGGAATAGCAGCCAACAAGTGCTCAGCATATGTGGGATCTCCTTCAAGACTGTTGGAAAAGCATTCCAGGTGAAGCTGGTTGAGAAAATGCCAAGAGTGTGCAAAGCTGTCATCAAGGCAAAGGGTGGCTACTTTGAAGAATCTCAAATATAAAATATATTTTGATTTGTTTAACACATTTTTGGTTACTACATGATTCCAAATGTGTTATTTCATAGTTTATGTCTTCACTATTATTCTACAATGTATAAAATAGTAAAAAATAAATAAAAACCCTTGAATGAGTCGGTGTGTCCAAACTTTTGACTGGTACTGTATATACAGTGGCTTGCGAAAGTATTCACCCCTCTTGGCATTTTTCCTATTTTGTTGCCTTACAACCTGGAATTAAAATGGATTTTTGGGGGGTTTGTATCATTTGATTTACACAACATGCCTAACACTTTGAAGATGCAAAATATTTTTATTGTGAAACAATCAAGAAATAAGACAAAAAAGCACAAAACCTGAGCGTGTATAACTATTCACCCCCCCAAAGTCAATGCTTTGTAGAGCCACCTTTTGCAGCAATTACAGCTGCAAGTCTCTTGGGGTATGTCTCTATACGCTTGGCACATCTAGCCACTGGGATTTTTGCCCATTCTTCAAGGCAAAACTGCTCCAGCTCCTTCAAGTTGGATGGGTTCCGCTGGTGTACAGCAATCTTTAAGTCATACCACAGGCCATTCCAAGACATTTAAATGTTTCCCCTTAAACCACTCAAATGTTGCTTTAGCAGTATGCTTAGAGTCATTGTCCTGCTGGAAGGTGAACCTCCGTACCAGTCTCAAATCTCTGGAAGACTGAAACCGGTTTCCCTCAAGAATTTCCCTGTATTTAGCGCCATCCATCATTCTTTCAATTCTGACCAGTTTCCCAGTCACTGCCGATGGAAAAACATCCCCACAGCATGATGCTGCCACCACCAAGCTTCACTGTGGGGATGGTGTTCTCGGGGTGATGAGAGGTGTTGGGTTTGTGCCAGACATAGCGTTTTCCTTGATGGCCAAAAAGCTCAATTTTAGTCTCATCTGACCAGAGTACCTTCTTCCATATGTTTGTCTTTTGCCAATTTTTTTGTGTAATGCCCCTCCTCTGACAGATTTGCGGAGCTATGCACTTAGACAAATGCTTTGGCCATCATCTCTGCCTTCTCCTCATCTGTTACTGCCACATCCTCCCCAACTCGTCAACACTGGATAATCCCACTCCCTTCTGACCCCACTCATCCTCTTAATCATCCCCCACACTTCTCCCACAGGTGTCGCCCCTTCCAATGGTGTCACAGAACCGATGCCAACATGACCTCTTTGCCTGACGGATAGTTGTCCTCACCAGGGCCTGGGCCTGACGGATAGTTCTCCTCACCATGGCCTGGGCCTGCTTATACTGAATCAGATGTTGGAAGTTATGCGTCCTTTTCAGTACTCTAAATGCCCTGTTCCTACTCCTCACCATCGCCCCACATTCCTCCGTCCACCATGGGACTGCTTTCCTCCTCCCTGAACTCTTAGGTATAGCCTCAGTAGCTGCCCCCCACTAACGCTGTTCTCACCCAGTTATTCATACTATCCACATCCCCTCTCATATCCACCCGAGCCATCACCTGCTCACTCAGCTCCTGAAACGGGTCCCACTTTGCCCTTCCAAACCCCCACCTGCCCGCTCCATCCACTAACACCACCACCTCCCTCTGGTCTACTGTGCATTTACAAAGCACACTCCGCCTTCCTTTTGCCTTCCTTCTCAAGCAGCGCTCTGCTCCAGCATGTCTTTAGAAATAAATGTATCTTCAGGACTACAGCGAGCAGGTCTCCGCTGAATACCAACTCAAGCTGAGAGAGGAAGAGGAATGGGCTGCATTGAAATTCTCCCAAGGACAGAAAAATGCTTTTATATGTGTGCTAGCAGCTCTCTCTGTGTGTGTGTGTGTGTGTGTGTGTGTGTGTGTGTGTGTGTGCGTGCACGCCAAGGCTTTCCTACTTCTTTACTTTCTGAAGATGAATCGCAGTAGGTTGCCAGGAGACCCTGGTCACAATAACGATCTGTTTTTTAATCAACCAGCCTCTGATATCAATGAAGAATCTGGTGGCGGCGCAGCTCTTACAAGAGAACCAGGCGGCCTCCCAAATGGCACCCTATTCCCTATATAGTGCACTTTGAATTTACATCCTTCTATTTTCAGTTTTGTATCTATCATTTTAATGTCGACTGCTGTTCAACTGAATTCTGCTCATCTACCGTAGATTCTCCTCCACCAGGATCTCGCCTTCAGTTGTCCATCTACCGTAGATTCTCCTCCACCAGGCTCTCGCCTTCAGTTGTCCATCTACCGTAGATTCTCCTCCACCAGGCTCTCGCCTTCAGTTGTCCATCTACCGTAGATTCTCCTCCACCAGGCTCTCGCCTTCAGTTGTCCATCTACCGTAGATTCTCCTCCACCAGGCTCTCGCCTTCAGTTGTCCATCTAGTGCTTCCTTTTAAATCTAGGCACTGGCCGTGTCCTAAATCTGCATTTGGAAAGACGGATTTGGAGTAAACTTGAGTTTACCACATGACCTTACTTCTGTCCTGGTCCTCCACCCTCTCCAGCACTTCCAGGTCCAATATCTAACACGGATTATAGTAGTTCACTACCACTAGCACCCCTCCTCACAACCACACCTCCACCACCACATACTCCTGTTCAATACCACTGCCTAGCGTCCTGTAGGGAAGTCCTTGCTTTATGAAGGTGGCACATCTGCGAACTGCCGCTAGCATTGGAAACTGTTGCTCTCCCGAAAACTTCCTTTTCTGCCTCCTCTCTACCTCCTCTCTCTCTCCCCTTCAAACCCCTCCTCCCTCTCTCTCCCTCTCTCTCCCCTTCAAACCCCTCCTCCCTCTCTCTCTCCCCTTCAAACCCCTCCTCCCTCTCTCTCCCCTTCAAACCCCTCCTCCCTCTCTCTCTCTCCCCCCCCTTCAAACCCCTCCCTCCCTCTCACTCTCTCTCTCTCCCCTTCAACCCCTCCTCCCTCTCTCTCCCCCCCCTCAAACCCCCTCCCCCTCTCCCTCTCCCCCCCCTTCAAACCCCTCCCTCCCTCTCTCTCTCCCCTTCAAACCCCTCCTCCCTCTCCTCCCCTTCAAACCCTCCTCCCCTCTCCTCCCCTTCAACCCCTCCTCCCTCCTCCCTCCCCTTCCAACCCCCCTCAACCTCCTCTCCTCTCTCTCCCCCCTTCAACACCCTCCTCCCTCCTCCCCTCCCCTCCTCCCTCTTCAACCCTTCAAACCCCTCCTCCCTCTCTCTCTTCTCCCCTTCACACCCCTCCTCCTCTCTCTCTCTCGTTTCCCTTCAAACCCCTCCTCTCGTATCTCCCTTGGTCAAAACCCCTCCTCCTTTTCTCTCCCGCTTTCTTTTTTCTTTCCTTCTCCCAACTTTA